CCCCCCCTCCTATTTTTTAGTGGATGTAACCATTTTGGAAGTCAAACTGCTGGAATATTGATTTTTGTTTAGGGCTTTTCAGAGTGTTTAGATGTCGGTAGCTGAGGTTTATTTCCAGAAGAAATTTGGCATGGGCAGAAGATACTGTACGCTGCCTACTCTGCCTAGGTAACTTCCTGAAGCCTTTGCTGGAGGAGAGCTAAGGCAAAATCCAGGCATCAGGATTTTTATACGCAGGTTGTTGGTTTTGGGTTTTTTTTTGTGTACGCTCCTGCTGAATGGATGCAACTGTCTAGAGGTCTGATGGTGTAAGTATTCCTTCAACAGGCTTATTTGTTCAAAGTTCTGAGTTTCAGGCTCCCCGCAGGAGCAAGTTGGTGTGATGTGGGTAGCGACAGGATATATGCAGAAGCCCAGCTCTGCGTGCTCTTCTGTGCCTGATCGCTGCTGCTCTAGGCTGTACACAAATTCAGTGGTAATCACTCAGCTCCTTGAACAGAGTAGGCCGCAAGAGCCGTGCAGGCCTATGCTTAGTAATGTTTTATTGTGTTAACACCACCATTTTCAAAATAATAAAAAATAATGTTTCCAATTTTGTCTCCTTATTTCCTTGTCAGCATCACCCTTCTGTGGCAAGAGACACCTGAAAGGAAAACTTCCGCATATCAATGCACTGCCAATGGTAAGTACCTTTTTAACTGACTAAAGGCGGTGTGGTTCCTTCCTGCAGATACACCATAAGCCGTCTTGTATTGCAAATAGTATTTTTAGAATAACTACTTTTTAGTATACAAGTGGATTATTTTAATTTTTTAAGAAACATCTAGACCATTATTCTGTTGGATAAAAATATTAAAATTGTATCTGGATTTTATCCTGTGGAAAGTAGGGCAGCATGTTAACTTTGAAGCGAGAAGTGTGACTTGACAATAACACAGCTCATCCTGTTGGTAACTGGTTTTGCTTCCTCTTTTGGCCAAAAACGTGTCTCGGGCAAGCTGTAGCAGAGCTAAGTGCTCCATTGCCCCCACTTGGGTGCTCTCTGCAGTTTGTTTCAGTACTAACAGCGTCTCCTATTAAAAAAAATCTATGCAGTCTCAGGTGTATTTTGACATTTGACAGTGTAAGACTAGTAAAGTTAAAATCTCAGCTCCTGTAGAAAGGGGCTTGGTTCATGCGATCTTCTTATTCCATCTCTGGAATATTACTCAGTGTTACAGACTATTGGAAGTTCGTATTTGCAGACTGTCTTTATGGTTTACTTACGCTTTCTGATAGTTGTGCGGGTGGAAGGCAGAGGTTAGGTCTGAAGAGGAGGACTGGAACTTACTGCTCCAGCTTTGATCAAATAAGCAGTTTTGGTATCTTGTGTTGTCACAGTTAAGGTGTACTGCAAGAATGGTAATTGCAGCATTAGGCTTAAGAAATAAATGCATAAAGTGCCAGTCTGAGTTTTGTATTTCAAGCATCTCTAGATCATTGTGCTCAGTACAGAAGTTAAAGGGATAGTATTTCTAACCACTAGCTTTGAAAACTCAATTTGGGATCTGAGAGCTGAGCTGGGTTCCTTTGGTTTGCATGTGGGCATGGATCTAAAGAATATGTAAATAAATTATAGCCTTACTTACACCTTTGCAACTCCACTGTCTTTGCCCTGTGAGCAAAATGACACTCCAGGAGAGTTTGCTTGGATGTAACTGCTTTACTTTGAAACATAGTAAGTAATTCTGTTGACTTTCAAAGACATCATGGAGTGAAATGTAATGTAGCATATATTTGGCACTAAGTAAAGCAAATATAACTCTGAAATCAGAAGATCTGCACCAAGTGTGTATGTCATTTAACAGCCTGATGTTTAGGCTCAGGGTTGATATCTGTAAAGTTTATATTGATTTGGGATGAATTTCAGCTGGTGCGAACGGATTTGTTGAGTGAGAAGGCATCGTTTTTACCTGGTCACTTAGCCTGGTATTTTAACTTTCCAAAACTGAAACTAGCAGTGCACTACGCCTTTTCTACTATTGCTAAATTTTCATTGTTGTTGTTGACCTTTTTCCAACAAAAAGCTACTCTGATTTCTTTTTATTTTGTATTAGTTGAGCATGGTTTTAGTTATGATTTAAAATACAGGTCTGTATTACTGCTTCTCTTAAAAACATGACTCATGCCATATTAACCTAGTCCTTATACTTAATAAAATTTTAAAATACTGAGAGACTGTATTTGAAATGTTACTGCATTTTGTTCTAATTTTCCCCCTACAAATGATATTAGAAATTCAGAATTGCGCAGTCTCAAGGGCATGCTAGTTGTTACAGTGATCATAAAACATACTCAACTGTTACTTGTAGTGAAGTGAAATACTCCCCACTCTTTTCTTTAAGGGCTGCTTTTGTGCTATAAGTTGTTTATATTTTATTATTCTAAAGATTTCTAAACAATTACTCATCCCTTAATTAACTTTAAAACAGTTTGAATGTAGATTTAAGAGAGAAGCTAGACACATCCTTCATCATCCCAAAAGTAATCATAACTTAATCTAGTTTGTAGTAGAAAAGACTTTTATAGGTTTTTATTATGTTGTTTTTCTCTCTGATGTTTGTAGACAAAGTATGGGCCAGAGGTTGACCTGAAAAAAGCAGTCTGTATTCTTCTCCCAAACAGGACTTGTTTTAACTTGGCTACCCATGTTCAATACATATATTTGAATCAGAAATTCATTTCTGATTCTCTTGAGAAATGATACTAGCATTTTGACCATTTTTTTAAATCATGATTGTCAGTTCCATTTCTTAGTACTAAATAAAGTAACACACAGAAGTTACACATCCTCTTTTGTTTTTTTCTTTGCTTTTCTATTTTAAAGGTAATTAAAAATGCTTATTTTTTGCATCATATATGATATGTTAACTGATAACTAAATAGGGTAAAACATCAGTTACTCCTTAAAAACATATTGTAATTGTTGGCAATGTTTTTTTAAAATAAAATATTTATACTGTGATACAGCCTGCTAAAAGAGAGCATGGCTGTGTTAGTTGGTGTAAGTTCTCCTTCCCATTCTTCCAGTCAACTGTAATGTTACTCAGAGTCTCAAAGGAGAGATGCAAAGGCTTAACAAAAAAGGCCTGTTAAGTGAAGGAAAATTAGCATATAATGCTACTTTTTCGAAGGTTCATTTAGAGGCTGATAACTGGATAATCCATGTTTACAAGGATTAATGAATGTGTTGGAAATTAAAAATTGAATGTCCTGGACCTTTGGCCTAAGCAAAAGATCACATCAGGTTTTCCGCAAAGGTTTTAGCAAATTAATTGTTTTGTGATGTGATGGAGCAGGTAGCTTACCTGAGAGAGATTTTTCCATTGTACCTTGCAAGGTAGATGGAGCAAAACAGTTTGCCTTTCTGTCTTCTACAAGTCATTGAAGCAGGCCTGCGTTTGTGTGTGTGTGTATGCATAAATATGTGTGGCTATATATGGGTGTGCTTGTGTATGCATGTATCTATATACATATATATGTATATCTACATATATAAAAAGGAGTGTGCAAAAACCAGCAACTTACAGAAAGCTGGGAAGTATCCGTTTGTGACTATCATACAACAGCTTGCTGTGATGGATTTAATTTCGCAGGAGGTAACCAAAAAGGGCTATGGAAGAATCGAGCAAGAAAGGCAATGTGGCGGCCTTCTGAGAGGCGTCCTGAAAAACACTATGCCTGGCTTCTTGGCTCCATCTCTTACTGCATGGTTAGTTTGACAAAGATCAACACACTGATCAGTTAAAAAGCTCTCCTGCAGAAGAGAATAGAGGATGTTACCATTTATTACAAGCTGACCCAGGCAAAGTCTGAGGATAGGCAGTGAGCACAAAGTTACTTAGTTGCCAGGAAAGCAGGGTTGTCAACAGCTAAGTCATGTCCTCGTGGTCTCTTGAGGGGAATACAAAGTAGGTGTTTTAAATCCGTTCTTTTCAGTGCTGTCTACTTCTAGGTGAATATACTGTGTTTTGAAGGTGTAACACACCCATTATGTGTTATGTCAGCTGTTCTTACATGTAAGAGACTTGTTATAGGAGAACAACTCTGCAGGTGCTAAGTCTCTTGGGCCAGGAAATTCCATGGGAGCAACACTTCAGTGTGATTATCTACCCACTGGATTTAGCCCAGAAACGGCAGGAGTAGTTGGAGGAGCTGGCGAGGATGAAGAAGTCATTCCAAAGAAAAAGGCATTCAGTGAAGGGATTGGAAGATGTCTGCAAAAACTTCCCCAAGACTGCAGCAAGACTTTTTCTTCGAACCCCTTTGTGGTGTCTTCTGTAGCGTCGTCCTGTGACTTTACCATTCCTTAGAAGACAGCTGAAGGAATAAACGAATATAACTATTAGCCTGTGGTTCCACAACAGCTAAACCTGTTTAAATGCTGATCTATCTGCCAGGTTAATCTTCTGCCAGTCCTTTCTATTAAAGAAAGACAAGCAAGGGAGAGAGCAGGAGCCTGCACTCGGGACTGGATGAGTTGGGTTTGGTGTGGAAGCCCTGCCTCTGCCAGCACCTGCCAAGGGCAGCAGGAGGTCCATGCCACTAGCTCCAGCGTTTGCACTGGAATTGCAAAATTGACTTTGTTTCAACAGGAGCTGAATGTTATCTCACAACTATAAGTATATACGAAAGAATATCTACAGGTGGGCAGACCTTTGAAAGATGGTAAAGCTGAAGGTCGGTTTTCATTATACTGAGAACAGGGACCCACCCCTCCTTTCAAGAGTTTATGAAACTTGACAGTACTTAAGATGTTGGCCGCAAGAGACATGAATAGTTCCTTCAAAATAAATAACCCTGCAAGACTAAGGCCCTTATTCTTCAAATGCATACACATGTGTGTACATGTATCTTCAAGTGTTGGAATAGTTCTTTTGAGATACAAATAAGGAATACTCGCGTGCATAAAGTTAACCAAGCTTGAAAGCACTTTCAACAGTAGCACCTAAAAGTGCTCATGAAATTTATTGTTGAGGCTGCTGTACAGTTTATGGGGTACAGCTTTAAAAGGAAAAAAAATATTTCTAGCAGCTTCTGAAATAGTCTAAGTTAGACTAAGTCTAATAAAATTTTGGACTGTTCTGCTCCTTCTGAAATCAATGGATGCTATTAACAATGAAGGAAGGTGAAGTGCAATGTATTTTGTCTGATAATTGGTTACGGCTGAACAATTATATTTCAGAGTGTTCATCCATAAGTTCTATTTATTGGATGAGCATGAATTAGCTGATCTAGTGGTGTATGTGTTGAAGAGGAAGTGCTAATAATGTGATATAGAAGAAAAATTGTGTGGTGTGGTAGCGTGCATACTGTGATAAGCATTAAAAATTTTATGTACTACTGCATTCTGATCCATTTTTGGAAGGTTTTTTTAATATTCTATTTCTGTACAGAAAGCAAGTTAAATACACTAATAAGATCCCTTTCTGATTCAGAGAGAAAACACCCCTTGCCTCCTTTTTCTACCATTAGTTCAAGTTCACTACTGAATGAATCAACTGAAAGGGAAACTACTGTCCTTAAAAATTTTAAGAAGTGGTGGCTCTATTTTGAAGTAGCATTTGTCAGAGAACTTTCTCTGCTCATTCTCTAAGCATTTTACAGTTCAGAAATAAGCTTTGACTAAGAATTCTCGGCAGA